CAAGCCCTGACTTGGCCTTGGACTCCTGCCTGTTTAAGACCTTCTTCCCTTTCTAGTCTTTTGCTGTCTCAGGCTGAGCAGTGGGGCAAGGGGAGATGGGGTTGGGTGAGTGATGTCCCTGCTATGAGAGAGGTTGTGATTTGGAAATTTGTCCTCAGCATCTGATTCAGCCAGCAATTCCCACTCCACTACCATGGATTGAATGGGTTACAATGCTCGTCTTCATTCCCACTGCATAGATCCATAAACTGAAGTTTTGAGGAATCATATTGCTCTTCCAAGGTTACCTAAATAGTAGGATGGAGCTGGGATTTCAAACCCTTTGGCCAGTCATCACGCCATTCTGCCCTTTGGTAGCAAAAACAGTGATCAGACACACTGGGATTGTCCTGTGGGGTGGCTGCCACCCAGAGCAGTTCTGTGTGCTTTTCAGGAAAACCACCATGCCTGTGTGTGTGCCTTCCCTATTCCCAGCCTCCATCTTCATAAATTCATCAAAATCTTTTCCAGACTTTTTTTTCAGCACTAGGATTGAACCCAGGGCTTCATGCATGTTAGTCAAGTGCTCTATCACTGAGCTATGTACTCCCTGAACCCCTTCTTAAATTTTATTTTGAGGCAAGTTCTCACTAAGTTGTCCAGGCTGGCCTCGAACTTGCAATCCTCCTGCCTCAGCCTCCTGAATAGCTGAGATTACAGTCATTCACCATGGTGCCAGGCTCCAGAATATTTTAATTTAAAATTTGCTTTTATTACATTTTAAAAATTGAATGTTTTTATTCTTCATAGTCACCTCCTCATTTCTCTTTACTCCTGTATGGCCAGGGCTTCTGTTCTTTGCTTGAGATACTAGGTAAAGGGTTTGCTTTATGAAACCACACTTCAGAGCTTTGAAGCTCTGCCTCTCCTGACTCTCCCCAGCATGGCTCTCCGGAGTCCTGAAAATCCTGGTCATTTTGTCTGTCCCCCCTGTGGTCCCTGCCTACCCAGACCTGGGCTTCAAGGGCATGGAGAGTGTTGGGATTCTGGAAAGGCCTGTAGTATGGCACAGCCAGGCATCTCATACACCAGGCCCTGCAGGGCCTAGTGAGCTATGTGGCTGGAGTGGAGCTGGGATGAAGTCTGTCCCCAGGAGAAGGGACACAGGGGCAGCTTCTTTGGAAGACCTCAAGCCTACTTTCTGGTTTCTGTACCATGAAGGCGTAACTAGTTATTGTTTGGGGTTGCTTTGAAAAATATTCAGCCCTTTGCTTTGTGTGTGTGCTCGTAAAGCTCCTGAGGTGTGTGAGGGAGCTGGCACATGGATTAAGAGAACATACTCTCCAAAGGGCCAGGGAGTCTTTTTATCTTGGGTCAAGCAGCTTCTCTCTAGCCACCCCACTCCTCCTCCCTTGCAGCGGCAAGCAGCCCAGACAATATGCAAATGTATGGGCGTGGCTGCGTGCCAGGAAAATCTATTTATGGATACTGAATTTTGAAATTCACATAACTTTTCACATGTCATGAAATAGTCTTCTTTTGATTTTTTCCAAGCATTTGAAAGTGTTAAAGCCATCCTTTGCTTCCAGGTGTAAGAAATCAGGTGGCACGGTTTACCCTGCCAGGTTCCCTTAGTGAGGAAGCCAGGTGACCCCAGCCTTCCCCAGGCTGACCTCTCTGGGGAATTGGAGGGCACTACCATTTTCTTTTGTTAGATTCATGCTGGATTTGGAGGAGCAGCAGCACTGCTCCTGTTAACTGTGCCTGGCGCCCCCTCCCTGGGTGCACTTGTTCCTGTTAGCCAGCACTGCTCCCCAGAGTAGGGGACGAGAGACTGGGAAGGGAAAGACTGGACAGCAGAACAGGCCAGAAGGGGCTGGTTATGGTTAGCCATGTCGAGGTCAACAATGATCTGGTGGGAGGGTAATTAGGAAGCCAGAAGAGAAGCCACCAAGTCCTGTCCCAGAGTGGACAGTGGCAGGGTTGGGGCAGAGCGTCCTGGGTAGCAGATACAGTGTGTTCTTCCCCTCTGGAAATCCTTGCAGGCATCTGCCCTGCCCAGGCAGTTCTGAGCCCCAAGGATACCACAACAAACATGACCAAGACCCTGGGCCACATTTTGCTGGACGAAGACAGACAGTAGACAGATACAGACAGAAACCAGAAATGGTCCCCAAATGGTTGACCAATGTTAAGGAGGAAATGGAGCCCTGAGAGGGAGACCTGAGCAAATACAGGGAAGGGGAGTGTCCAGCAGAGGGCACCAGGGGGGCAAGAGCCTGAGGTGACAGTGTAAGGTGGCACCTGCAGGAATCGGGGTGGGGCTGGCCCCGATCACCATCACTGGACCCTGGGCTCTTCGTTCCTTGCCATTTCCTTCTCTCGCATTGTGCGGGGCCAGCCCTGGACCCCAGGGCCCTGACTGTGCCGCCTCGGCTGAGCCTCTCCATCTGCAGCTCCGTGCTGCGGCTCGTGCCAGCCTCCAGTCTGACAAGTGATAAGGAACTTGGAGACGTAGCTCTGGTGGGCGGGAGCTCACTGCCAGCTTTGCGGCTGCCTGGCTCTCCACGCTGGGCATCCATATGGGGCTCTTGGGGGTTTTCAAAAAGGGCGTCCTCTCCTGTCCTCCTCCGTTTCCCCGGAGGAGGCAAATGGGAATTGGGCAGCAGGCAGTGCCGAGCATTTCCTTTGGCCGTAGGTACAAGAGCTCTTGGGGCCTGGCTTCTAGACAGGGCAGTGTACGATGCAGAGCAGAAGGTGGCACACAGGAGCCCTGGTGTCTAGTGGCTGCCGCTGCGCTCCCTGATCTCAAGCTCCGGGTCCTGAGGCCATGTGCTCTGGTTGTTAGGAGGTGGTATGTACAGCGTTTAGGGTGGGGCTTTACACACATGACAGGCCTTTAGTCAGTGGTCATATTACAGTCTTTGTCATCACTCAATACCTAGTGTTATCATTCTGTCCAGGGTTGGTCCTGAGGGAGGGGCCCCGGTCTAGGAGGTTAGGGGAGGAGTGAAGAGGGTAGGAGAGGGGCTGGGTGCAGCTCAGTGGGAGAGGGCTTGCCTAGCAAACGAGGCCCTGGGCTCTGTTCCTGGCACCGTAAGTAAAAGGGGGCTGACTGTGGATGCAGCGTGTGTAGGGGCCAGTGGAGGTGGGAGGGCCACCATGCAGCAGCACCCCATCCTGCTGGGGTGAGTGGCCTGGGGCTTGAGCGGTTCTGAAAGTGCCCAGTGGTCCCTTCTCTCCACCGCCTCAGGCCGTGTGAATGGGGCCAGGCACCCAGCTGGGTCCGCTCAGGGCTGGGGTCCTGCTGAGGGAGGAGGAGGGGAAGAGGCTCTTGCACATATTTGAGGGGCGCTGATGAGTGCAGAAGGGGACCTGAGGAAGCAGGACGGGAGGGCAGGGAGCAGGTGGAGCAGCAGGTGGAGGGTGGGGGGAGCCTGGTGGCCTCTGGACACCCAGGAATGAGGTGGAGAGAGGAGGGGTGGCAGAGTGCAGGTTCCTGGCACAAAGCCGAGGCTATGGGTAGTGACAGGCGTAGAGCATAGAAGGAGCAGTGACCTCCGGGGGCTGCGTGTCCCAGGGACTGGCTGTCACAGGGGTGCAGAGTGAGTCTGGAGGGCTCTCACGGCCCAGGCGGGAGCACTTGGAGGTCTGCAGATGCCTGCAGCAAGGAGTGGGTGGGGACAGCAGATGGACCTGAGGCTTCAGGGTCCAGGCAGAGCTCGTGGGGTCTGGGGCTGGAGAGCAAGGCCAACCATCCCTGCAGGGGCTGCAGGGGCATCCTTTCTGGGCGGCAGGCTTTCTCAAGTGCAGGACAGAAGGGGAATAGAGCGGGAAAGTGCTAGGGACTGGGGCGTGTGGGCGGGAAGGGAGCAAACCTGCCTGATGGTTCTCCAGACACCCTGTGAGGCATGCTTCTGTCCCGCAGGGTCCAGGCTGCTCAGGGGCTGGGTCCAGGGATGTAGAACCAGACCCTTCCAGGACCCAGCTGTACTAGCTGCTCCTGGCTCCCACCCACTATGCCTGGCCCTACTGCCGCCCTTCTGTCCCACCTCAGCTGTGAGCAGTCACCACAGCTGCTACGCAGGGCCTGGCCAGCACTTCCGGCTAAGGGCCAGCTCCAACCTGAAGCCTTCTAGGTCATTTTGGCCAGAAGTGTGGCACCCTCTCAGAAGGCCTGCAAGCCTTGCTGCCTGCTCTGCTCTGTCACAGTGAATAGGTATCGACATGTCACCTCTCTCCTTTGGGATCCTGTGGGGTCCTGTGGTGACAGGATGAACCTGAGTTTAAAGCCAGCATCCATCCTGGCTGGCTGGGGGATTCTGGGTAACACTTAGCTCCTGAGCCTCAGTTTCCTGGGCTGGAAGTGGGGAAGTGGTAGTTCTTTTGGTGGGTTGGGAGGACCCATGCAGAGCTCTGTAGAGGGAGGCCCTGCTCGCTCAACTCCCACGCACACACCCAGCTCCACCCAGCATGGGTTCAAGGCCTCATCCTGCACACCCCTGTGCCCAGTAAATATCATTTGCCGAACTGGGGGAAGATCTCTATAAAACTTTCCTGTAGTATCTTCAAAAAAAATTCAGAAGGGGTTGAAATATACAGCCATATTTTCTAGCTCCTAGTAAAAATAGTTTGCATATGGCTGAGGAAAATAAAAATCGTACAAGGCCAGCTTTGCCAGAACTAGTTTTTAAGCGTCAATTAACAAAAAAGACTTTTCATACAGCCCTAAAAGGGAATGAATTGTGTATGAAACTTACTGCTTTACATCAGAAAGAAAGGTTTTTTTAAAAAAACTTACTAAGACCATTTACTGAGAAAATTGCCTTGAAAACATTCAATAAATGCAAAGTGTTCTTTTCTCCTCTAGACGTGTCATTTTGCAATGCCTACCACCGTGAATCTTTGAAAACATTTTATTTTACAAGAAGTATTAAAAAAAACTTTCACATTTTTTATTACCATTTTGGGTTTTAACATGGGATCTTTTGACCTTTCCGAAAATGACTTTTTGTACATAGATTTTCAGAAACGCGAAAACGATCATCAAAGCCTTTCAGCTAGTTGATGTTAACAACATCGGCCTGGTGCAACCGCAGGAGCTGATGCGGGTGCTGGAGACCTTCTGCTTGAAGATGAAGGAGGAGGAATACCGGAAGTGAGTACCGGGAGACTGAGGGGGATGCGCGGCTCGGCGGCCAGTCTCCCTTCACCACCCCCAAATTCTGCACTACAAGGTTCTCACGTCCCGGTGACTGACAACTCCACCGCCCAGTCCTCTCTTTCCTCCTTGCCACCATGCCCTCCCCTGGGCATTTCCAGGCCCCAGTGGGGTTTACAACAAGCCTGAGGTTAGGAGGAACAGTTTCAGGGTTCTTTGGTTTGTTGATGTGCCCCTCCCGATGTGATGCAATCACAAAGGCCATCTTCCTTCCAGGGCTGGGGTGGGGTGGGGTGGAGAACCCCGAACACTTAGCTGCCCCAGTGGAGGGTGGGCTCCTGTTTGACCCGTTTTTGAAGCGCCTGGCAGACACAGCACCCCTCTGCCCAGCTTTTCCCAAGCGCTTCCTGAGACACTGTTGACCTCCTCAGCCTCTGCTTCCTGCAGTTTCAGTATCAGGAGTCCACCAATCTTTTAAACTATGAGATGGGAAATCCCAGAAACAAGTTTTAAATAACTTCTTACAGTATGTTAGCTTAATTGTTCTATCTTACTCTGAGTTATTAATCTGTTTCTGTGACTATACATTAAACGGGATCCTAAGTTTGTATGTATACAGAACAGCAGAGTATTATATAGGGTTTGCTATGCACTTTCTTCCGCATTCTCTGAGGTGTTGGAGCACATCCCCTGCAGGTAAGGAGACATCTGTCTCCTACACGTTGTTCACAAAAGCACTGAGCTTGCTTTCACCAGGAGCTGAAGAGCTTCCTGCTGCCCTGGAGTCAGAAGATGCTATCGACTGGGTTGCCTCTGGCAGGTCTCATAAAGACAAGGAGGCTGCTGCTAGTGGCAGAGGAATTGGCCCCAGGGCAGGGACATGTGGTAGGCTTGTGACCATGGCACACATGCTGGAGCCGCTAACAGCAAGGAAATTTTTAAACAAAAAAAAGTATTTTTCCCACTCCTTTGAATATTTTTTCTTTGCTCCTCTTGATAACCCACCTCAGAATATAAAAGACATAATAGATGTTTTAATTTTTACATCCTTTCCGGCTGGGAAAGTGTCCAGAATAAGATCCAAACAAAACAAATTAAATAATTTTGCACACGCAATTATAGAACAGAAGCAGTGCTCTCCTAAAACAGGCAATCAAAGACAAAGCTGTGTTTTATTTGACAATAAACCTTGTGTTTGGCACTGCAGTCTCCAACCTAGTAAATCTATAAAAAATGTTGCTGTCTGTTTCCCCATCTCTTTAAGTATTGAATAATAAAGAACTCTACAAATTTTTATTCAAGACTTTTTTTTGAAGCCTCCGAAACAATGCTGTTTTCAAGATAAGGCTAGAGAAACCTCACATAATAGAGTTGCTTCCTGTAGACGAAGACCCGCAGAGGATCAGAAAGGGAGCATTTCTTTAATTGCTTTAATGCTTTCCTCACTGAAGCTCAAGTATACACTTTTTCCTGGAGAAGCTGCTTTAGTATTAACTGTGCCTTTTAAATTTGGGGGCAGGAAATGCAATGCATTTTTGAATCCTTTCTTTGATCTACCAGCTTTCGTTTTAAGATCCACGTTCTGAACTTGCTGCCATAGGAATGGCTGGGCTTGTGCTTTGAAGTCAGGCCCTTGAGGGATCAGGTCTGTGCTCCTTGCATCCTCATCCTGGGGACCTAGGGATGCTCACAGGTTCCCTGAGACTCATGTTCTCTTAGAGAAATGGGCACTGAGAGCTCACCTCCCAGGGTGGAGTCAAAATGATGTGTGGCGTGGGTCGTCTGCCAGTGATGCACTCGTGCATAGGGCAGGTCACAGTTGTAGAGATTCTGAGTGCCCATTGCTCCTTGGTAGATAGTTCCTTTTAGGATGCAGAATGCTGTCCAGCCTATGTAAAGCAAGAGGCCGGTGATAAAATGACCACCAAGCCCTGAAGTATTCTGTAACCCTCCCTCCAGGCCAAACTATTTGAATCTATATAAAGTAATCTGTAAGCAGCCTTACAAACAAACTAACCTCTGAATCTCAAGGTCAGCCTGCTGACTGAAGCCTAAGGCTTTTTCTCCAGGTGGTTTGCCAGACAAGTTTGTAGGCTGATGGGATTCTTTCTTCTCCTCCAAATCTGGCCCCTGGGAAGCCCACTTGCCTACTGGCTTCTGCAGGTGCGTGAGGGCCCTGCCTTGAGTTCAGGTTCCTGAGCAGAGGCCCTGGTTGTTATCTCTTAGGTACGTTTCTGTATCCCATCTTTGGTTCTTATAAAAATCCTCTGGAGATGCTGCCTTGCTGGGCAGGGTTGAGGCTTTGTGTGGCGGACTTGTGATTTATAGTGTTATAGCTCTTAGTGGTTTAACGGGATCAGGCCAAGAAGAATGGAGAATGCACCTGGAGGTTGGAGGCAGTATAATTTTATTATGCCGGTGGACCAGTCAGGGATTTCTCCACAAAGTAATCAGACCCGAGCTGGCAGTGAACAAGGTTTATAGGGAGCAAGAGAAGAGGGGCGTGGGATACAGAAGCAAGGCACTTAACATCAGTTCATTGGTTGAGGAAGTTACATTCCGTTTACATGATTGGATAGAAAAGTACACAGGAGTTCATCTCATTTACATATGGTGGGAAAGTAGGGATTACATCATCTTGAGGATACAGACATTTACTGAGAACAAAAGACAGTGAAGGAAGATCTGTGTTAGGTGTGGGAGGGGTATGAGCTGGGAGTGGCTCTTTGTCAGTTAGGTCAGCTGGTCGCAGGAAAAACTTTTTGCTCAGAAATCATTTTTCTGATTCATCTTCAGTCTTGAAGTTTTATCTGTAGGGCACATTCCCCGGAATGCTCTCTGCCTGGGAGTCTGTAGCAGGGGCCTCGAGCTTGCCCAGGCTGGGCCAGGGCATGGGGCAGGGTTGTCCTCTGAGCAGAGCCCTGTGTTCAGGAAGAGTGCCTTGTCCTTGAAGTCCCGAAGGCCAGCAGTAGACCTTTCACAGCGTCCTGCATTTTCCCGGAGCAGCCCACCAGTCAACATGTCCTCTACTCAGGAAGGTCTCTGAGTATTTTCACAAGATTGAGGCCAAGGAGGAAAGATGGGGCTGCTTTGGGAGCTTCTGTGTTAACATCTGGCAGCTGTCATCCCTCAAGATAAGTTTTCTTAGTAGAACAATAGGCAAGCTTCATCAAAGTCGAAAAATAGGTGTGCACTGAAATAAACACATGACATTACTCTCAATTAAATTTGGAAAACAGAAAAATACCAAACACCTTAAGTAATAATTACTAAATTTTGAAAAAGCAGCATGAAATTAGATAATTATAGAAACCAACACATATGGAGAAAATATAACCAAACATGTAAAAACTGTCAATTTTTAAGAAATGTAATAACTCAAAAATTATTTGGAAAGACATTTCTCACGTGGCAAGTTTGAATAATAGAAAATCCATTTTAAAGAATCCAAGCATTCTATTTATGTCAATATATTTTGGGGATAGATAGTAGTCCACATGTTTTAAAAGATTTCTTGTTCCATGTGAACACCACAGAATTCTTCAAGAGCTCTTGCCTTTGCCTGGTTTGAGCCACGCAACATCTGTGGCCCTCAGTTTCTCTCTAGTGGAATCAAAAAGATCACCTGTGTGTCTCCCAGTCCCATCCAGCTCTAGGTGCCCTGGTCATGGACATGTTATGCCAATTGGCTCTCTCCCAGCTCCGAGTCCCTCCACATATTATAGGAAGGTGACGAGACTACTTCTGCTGTCCCACTGAAGCTGTGGCTGCCTGGGCCCTGTGTGCGCTCCCCTCCCCAGGAGGAGGCAGATCCATGGGATGGCCTCCTTCAGGTCTCTGTTCATCCATCTGTAGGCCTAGGAGATGGTTTCCTTCAAAGTATCTGCACTTTAAAAATCTGCCAATAACATTTCCCAGGGTTTACTTTTAATTCCAGCTGTAGCTAGACACAGATATTAAAATCAGTGCCAGTCTCAACAGAAATGATTCCTCAGTAATGCAGAAGATAGCCTTCATTTTAGAGTCGCTGCCTTGTAATGTCTGATCTGGAAAGAACATTTGTATTTCAGGTTCTCAAAACACTACAACATTGATAAAGACACTGCAGTGGATTACAATATGCTTTTGAAGAACCTCAGCATAAATAATGACCTGCATTTTAGATATTTTATGTCGAACCAAGGTAAGTCTTCGCTAAAGATCTTAGTATCCTTTGGCATGGTCATCCCTATTCTATGAGTCTTTCCTTAGATAATACTTTCAAATGTGGAAAATGGATCATCTACAAAGAGAGCTTTGGGATCATTAGTTATGAGAATCATGTAAGTGCTTAACAATAGAAAAAGCCTTGCGTCTCAGCACATCCTCATGGTAAAATGGACAGCTAGGAACAATGCGGTAACGATAATACAGGAAGTAAGTGTGAAATCAGTCCTTGATTGCAAAATGACCCAAATGAACTCACAGATTGTCTTTAAGTGATATCTGTCTGAGTATTGTTTGTTCTTCTTTCTGCTGCTTCTGTATTTTTGAAAATTTTTGATAATGGACACATATTCCTTTAATGGGGAAATCTTGATAAAAAAGGACAAGGAGTTGAGTAATTTACAATTATATCAGATATGTAAAGCCAGGTATCTACTCTTGAGAGGGAAAATCCCCACTGTGCCTTATCCCAGCCTTATTAATGTGATGCCCAGAGATGTCCAGCTGTTGGGTAGTTCTGGAGAGAAGTGGGGTCCAGTTCTTTGAGAGCGAATGTCTGAATAACACACTCTCCCTTCCCAGCCTCGGGTCAGTTTTCTGGCCTTAATCAGTTTTCCCCTTAGTGGTTTCTTGTCCCAAGGGTTTAGTCCCTATGACAGGGCATCATTGTCTGGTTTCAATTTAATTAAGTTCAGCAAACACTCATTGAGCAGCTTCTGTGATTCTCAGTTCCACCTCACCAGCAAGCTGAAAAATGACAGATTGTCTGGTTTCAGCCTGGTTTTGCTTATGGCAGACCCAAGGACTCCAGAGCTGCTCATGGCAGGCACTTTGCTAGGCATGTTCTGGTGTCATCTCTTGTCATTTTCCCTGCAGCCCTGCGACGAGCAAAAGATTGAAATAAACCATCAAACCAGCCTCACTAGCCAGAAATAACTGTCAGCATTATTCCTGGCATTGTCCCATGCATGCATATGGAAAGGAAAGATAGAGAGAAGGAAATCCATTTGTAAAATGGGGTCATGTGGATGCTATTTTATATAAGAACTTACTTAGAGTGTATCAGAGGAATAGAAATTGCAGTGAAACTCAAGAAAATGATGAATACATTTTGGCTGGATACAATATCCACAAGTTATCCGTCTCCCTTTCAGACTTTGATCCACAGCTTGCTAGTACTGAGTTTGGGTGCTAAGTCTGAGGACTGCTTAATTTTCTCCCTTTTTGGTGATTGGCTTCATGTAGCTCGCTGCTGAAAGGACTTTTTTCCTCTAGCCTAGCTAAGACGTGTCTTAGTGCCGTGTCTTCTACATCAACTTCTGCAGTATATTTCCATGATTCCGTCAATTCTTCTCTTCATGTTAAGATCTTAAAAATAATATTATGTATCTTTTTTCTTTTTTGTACCGGGGACTGAACTCGGGTTCTTCTGCTTTTGGGGCAGGCAGCGGAACCACTGAGCTAAATCCCTGGCAATATTGTGTATTTTTTTTAAGACATTTCCCATTTTCTTTTTCTCTTTTCTTTCTTTTTTTTCGGTACCGGGGATCGAACTTGGGTCCTTGTGCTTGCGAGGCAAGCGGTGGAACCACTGAGCTAAATCCCTGGCCCCCGTTTTCCAGATTCTTAACTTCAGGGATTCAAATCATCCTTCTCTTGGACTGTCTTTGTTCTCCATAGCTATTAAATGCTCTCCAAGCCCTTTATTCTGTTCCCTCTGTATGCACAATGATCATCTTCGATCTCTATTTATACCTGCAGTTTGATTTTCACCAGTATCTGTTCTATTCTTTGTCACTTCTAATTTACCTATGAGATCCATTATGTTCTTTTAGGTCTATTATATTGTTTACCATCTCATCTTACTGTTTTCTCGTCTGTCACTGAGCTCTTGTTTTACTGAATTCATGTTCTTAGTAAGATATTCTGTAATTTTAAAAAAATAACCTTGACATACATTTTCTTCCAATGTGAAGTCTTTGCCTTTTCCTCTTCTTTATCTAGCCTCCTTTCTCTTTTTTTTTTCTTGTAGAGTTTGCATTAATTTCAAGAAATTTGGGTAAGTTGAGCATTTTCTGGTCTGTTTTAATTTTTGTATTGACCTTTTATTTCCTTTTTTTTTTTGGTACCGGGGATCGAACTCGAGTCCTTGCGCTTGCGCAGCAGGCAGCAAAACCACTGAGCTAAATCCCCGGCCCCACCTTTTATTTCTTATTACATATTTTTTCACTTGTTCCGCGGTTCAGATATACACCTTTAATAGACGAGAATTGACCTTTAGATACTATTATTCTAACTCCATGAAGTGTGAGAACTGCACAGCAGAATTTTCTCACTTCTCCCTTCCTTGTGTTGTCCTACAACGCTGTGGCTTCCATTGTTACAACCGCTGAGGTTTCTTGTCTGTTCATTCATTAAGAGTATCTATTCTCAAACACCACTATTTGAAAAATTTAAGAATATTACAATGCTTTAAGCTTTTTATCTGCTAATTCCAACGTTTTGATGGTCTCAGAGTCTGGTCTTTATTGATCCCCTCCTTTTCTTTCTTGAATGTAGAGCACAGTTTCCTGTTTTGGTAAATTTTGCATTGTTACAGACTATGGATTCTTTTATGCTCCTCTGCAAATTTTAATTTTGGGGGCTTTGCTTTAGTAGTCAGTTCTCTTGGCTGTGTTGGAACGGACCGTCCTCCCTGAGGGGTAGCACCTGGAATCTGTGCACCGCTGTCTCATCCTTCGCGCAGCAACTTGGCCCTCTGTTCTGCACATCCAAATTCAAAAGTTGGCCAGAGATTTGGCCATGGTTTATCCACACACTCTGAGGATTCCCTCTCTGCCTCTTCTCTCCCTCCAGCTGCTGTGGCAGTCCTGAGCTGTTTTCTGATTCCTGAACCCCACAAGATCCCGGGTTTACATCCAAATTCTAGCCACTGAGCAGGGTTCCAGCTGGGGCCTGCCCTTGGGTACCAGGCCAAGCTGCCTGGGATGCCATTTTTCCAATGTCAGCTTCGCTTGGTGTCTGCTTTCAGCTGGTCCCCAGCGCCTTCAGATAGTTTTGTTTATATTTTTCCTGGAGTTTATAATTGTTATCTGCTGGGAGTGTTGGTTTAATATGAGCTAATCCACCATAATTGGAAGCAAAATTTTCTGGCTGCTCATATTAAGTGTTGTTTGCTTTTTTATATACATGTAATTTTTACTGTTTTTCCCCTCTTGCTTATTTCATTAGGTGTTGTAAGAAAGTCAGTTTTATAATACTATTTCAATTTACCATGGAAAGCTCTCTCACTTCTTGCTCTGCATTTTATCAGTAATTGGCGGCAGGTTTTCTCTATTGATGATACATAAAGTATTGTCACATCTCACATTGAAAGGTGTCTTTGATTTGATCAAATACAGGATACATATCTAGTCTCCTGTATATTTCTGAATGTGTTCCTTATGAAGTGTGATCAAAATACATGGTGAATGTTTAAAATATAATTACAATAAAAGACATATTTCCATTAATCCCCCTCAGAATCCTCCCTTACTTCAAACACATTTATCCCATGATTCTTGCCACTTCCTGAAGCAGTTCTGAAAGTCGTCATTTGTGTCTTTAAGAGATACGATCAAAAATATGGTGAATGCAGCTCTTGTGTGCCATCAAGAGGAAATACAGACTTGTGAAAACATGACGCTGCATCCTCATCCACCTTATTCACTGGATCTAGCACTGTGTGACTTCTGACTCTTCCGTAAAGGCAAAAGAACCACAAAAGGGGAACACTTTGAATCGATTCAAGACATAGAGATAGCTGTGACAGTGCAACTAAAGACAATCATGAAAGACGACTTCCGAAAGTGCTTCAGCAGGTGGAAAGAATGATGGGATAAATGGATTGGAAGTGATGGGGTGGATTGTGAAAGAGTTAATGGCAACCTGTCTTTTACTTTTCTTAATTTTTAAAAAATTAAATATTCACCATAATTTTCCCTTCACACCTCGCATATTCCTCTTCCCACAGTGCTAGCTGGATTCCCGTTGCTGCCTCCCAGCTGGTCTCCTGGTCCCCTGCACTACCCCATTCCAGTCTGCTCATTTTCTCTCTGAACTCGTAGTCTCTAACTTCTGTAGTTGAAATTCAAACATTTCCGTTAGCGGCCAGACCTTTTGGTGAATGTTCTAGATTAAAGATGGAGCACTTTGGGGCTCGGGGAAGGTTCCATTACAGCTGTAGCCTGAGGCTTTGGACACCCAGGCCAGAGGCTGGGCAGCAGCAAGAAAGGACACATCTCCAGGGCCAGCTGCTCAGCTCCTACTACCTTCCAATCAGCACTGCATCCTCAGCCCCACAGGGGGAATCTCAGTATCCACAGAGCATCTAGGTTAGATTGTTATGGAAATCATTTTATTTGGATGTTGGATTGACTAATTTGAATTCTCACCTAATTTGTTTTGGGAAAAACCAGGGAATCCAGGCAGGTCCCAGAGAGAGGAGAGAAGAGAGCCCAAGGTCAGTCTCAGGTTGGGGTTTATCTTCTAGTTCTTCCTGCTCACATTGTTCAGAAGTGGGTCTTGCCATCTCCTGACTCAGTTTCCACAGAACAGCCACATAGTAGTGGAGATCTCTGTCATGTTTGCTCAGTGGCTTCTGTCCATCCTTTTGTGTCCTCAGCCCATGGTGATTAGAAGCTTGGTTTCTGGTGTGTTCCTTTGGAAATGCTCATGGAAACGATATCCTCTGATTTCTTATTCATAAGTTTGTGGCCTTAACAGTTGAAAAATCAAAAATTTCTAGATATAAAATCCTTGGTTCCATTTTTCTTGAGTATCTTAAATATCTTTATGCATTGTCTGATGACATGAAGTTTTGCTGAGGAAAACTGGTGACAATTTAATTTATTTCCCTATCTGTAGCTTGATCTTTTTGCCTAGATGTCCAGAGATCTTTTAAAAATCTAAAACCTGATAATTTTGCTGGACTATGCCATGATATTTTTAGATACTCGTAATTGATTTCCTGAGTATGCTATTACTATTTAAATTTGCAGATGTGAGGCTCTTTTATTTCAGGAAAACTTCTTGAATTTATAATTTTTAGTATTTGTTCTATTCCATTGTTTAATTTTCTTCTCAGCTATTCATATTACATATATCTTGGGTCTTTTTTTCATTTCTTCTTTTCTGGATGGTTGCTGTCTCATGAATCTCCTTTCTTTATTCCTCCTTCCTTTCCTTCTTCTCTCCTTTCCTTCCTTCCCTATTTTCCTCCCTTCTTTCTTTCCTTCCTATTTGCTTACTTGATATAATTTGCATTTCACGTATACTACTATCATATTTATTTACTCCTGGGTTCCTTTAGTCTTCCTTTCTGAAATGATTTATTTCCAGCTTTATTGAGATATAATTGACAAATAAAAATTATATATATTTAAGGTATATAATACTATGATTGGAGGGCCAGGGATTTAGCTCAGTGGTTCCGGCACCTGCCTTGTAAGCGTAAGGTCCCGAATTCGATCCCCGGTACCAAAAAAACTAACCCCCCCCCCCCATGATTGGATACATGTATGCACTGTGAAGTGATTACCATAATCAAGTTAATTAGCACACCTAGCTCCTTTTTTGGTGTGTGGTGAGAACACTTCATAGTTACTCTCTTTCATATTGTCATATTGTCAACCATAGTCCAATTTCATGGTGACTATGGTTAATGATACTGTACTGCATACTGGAAATGATTTTATTTTTTTCTAATTTGCTCCTGACTTCTACCATCTAATTTCTGAGTTTCCTCACTGTGGTTGGTATTATCCTTCCTTGTCTTCTATCACTAAGGAATTTCTTATTAATCAATCCATAGCCCATGTTGGTTGGATGTCTACCACATCCAAGCAGGCCCAGCCCATGAGCCCATCCAGGATGCACCCAACCACTGCAAGCTTTGGATCCCTCCACACCACTGGGATCAGCAAGAACCCTTCATAGAGAGAGGCTGGGGTAGAACTCATGGTATGGCATTTGCTCAGTAACACCGGGCCTGGGTTCCAACCCCAGTATTAAAAAAAAAAAAAAAAAGAAAGAATCCTTCAGAAGAAGTCTTAGGAAAACCTGGGGTGGTGGGAATTCCTAGAATATGAGGATGGTAAGACTGTGATAAGATGCAGTCACTGAAGATGCTGTGACTGTCCTCCCCTCCAGCGTGGACACCATGAGTTCCTGGACAGTGTGCTGCCCATGAGCCGCCCTCCCACTCTACCCATCAGTCCACATGCCTGGAGCTGGGCATGCTGTGTGTGTGTGTGTGTTCCTGGTTAAAGAACAGGATGAAGTATCTGGAAGCCCAGCCTGGAGACCCTGGGAACTTGACCAGCAGGAGCCTGAGTGGTGACTTGGCCTCCTGTCTTCCCACGAGGTCTCTTGTGGGCCCGGGCACTCTGAGATCCCGGCTTCCAAATGCTGCCATCCTTGAGGCCAAAGCGTTGCACACCAGGCTCCAAAGGACAGGTATTGTGTCAAGCCTGTCTTTTATTTTTACTTTTTATTGTTTGTGGAGATAGGAAATGGAATTCCACATGACTGGCAGTTTGTTAGCTGCAGCAGGATGAAGTGTGCTTCATTTGGCTGGAGCTTATTTGCAGACATTTTAGGAAATAAATCTGGGAAAGCATTTGTGACTCTTTGCGGTCGGCTTTGAGAAAGAAGATGGCTATATTTTAGATTTATTTTATTTCCTTTTGTTATGAAAGTAATACACATTTGTTTGACACAAGCTGGAAAACACAAAATAACAAGCTTCTGTAATTCTACCTCCAGAATCCTACCAAGGTGTTCTTTCCGGCATGGGAGGACCCTGATGCATGCATAGATGTATGGAGAGGTTGGAGAAGATACAACATCAGCATTAAAATGAAAATTATGTTAATTGTCCTTTTATCAATCCTGAAGTAATATATAGCTAGGAAACATTTCCACACTCATTAATTTAGACATGCATCTTTTCTTTTAACATCTATGTATTATTTCATAGGCTTGATGGCCACTAATTTATAAAACTCATCCTCTGTTAATAAGCATTTAGAGTGTTTCTGTTTATTCCCTTGTAAACAGTACAAAAATGTTCTTATCCAGATGCCTTTATTGAGTGGCCCTATTATTCCATGAGTATAAAGTATTAAAAAAAGATTTAAGAATATGAAGTGTGAGGTTTCTTTATGTACAAGCCAGAGCTGCTTATTACCATTCTCTTTAATCTTTTATTATTTGACAAGCAGAAAAAAATGTTAACTTGTTTTAATTAGGCTTTAAAAATTATCAATAAATTGGAGCAGTTTTCATACACTTATTGGATTTTTAAAAAGTTATCTGTCTCTAACATAAATATTCTATTGGGTATTTATATCAATCTTATTGATTCATAGGAGCTAATCATGTATTACGAACGTTGATGTGTATTTCTTGAGTATATTAGCAATAGTTTTCCCCACTCATTTTTCTTTCACTGTTATTTGTGCAAATTTTAACCAAACAAAATTAAATAGTATGTGTACTGTCAGACCCCCCTATTAGTTAAATGATTTCTGGGTTTACTGTTTTCCTTGGAAAGTTCTTCCCTCAGGTAGATTGTGTAATATGTAATAGTCATCATAATTTTCTTCTACTACTTTTATGGTTTTATTATTCTTTTTGGTGTATATTTCATTCTATCTAGGGTATATCCTAGAATGATAGTGCATAAAAGACCAATTTTATTTTTTTCCAAAATGTTCATCCAATTATTTATTTATTTATTTATTTATTTCTGGTTTTTGAGACAGAATCTCCCTATGTAGTTCAAGCTGGCCTTGAACTCACTAGGTATCCCAGGTTGGTCTCAAACTCAAAGCAATCCTCTTGCCTCAGCCTCCTCAGTGCTGGGATTATAGGCATATGCCACCACGCCTACTGCATCCAATTATTTCAAAGAATTTATTAGATAGTTCATCCTTTTCTTGGTTTATTCAAGCCTTAATTTTTTACCAAACAGGTGATGATTAAAAGGAAATGGTATTTCCGTGTATCTTTGACAATGTGAACAAACTATTTTGTTTTCATAGAGGTCTCACCAGAGAATCAACAAGCCAAAACTTTCAAGAGAGAGCATTTGCTCAATTCTGCACCATCCAAAGAGAGCTGGAACAACTGCTCTTTAGATGACGTTGAAAAGGTCTTCTGCCAAGAGGTAAAATGTTTTCCTAAAGCATTTTTATCAAAAGTGTGAACAGAGCCAACTGGGCAACTGTGACAAACTCTTAGGTCTAGATAATATTTCTAAAATATGCTTTGATCCTACCTACATCTCAAACTGAGAGACCTCTTTCCTCTCCCAATAACAGTGATGCACTGATAACAGTAGCAATGAGAAGTTGTTAAATATACCTCTGCACCACACAATACTAACTCTAATAAGAAATATATAAATCTTATATAATGTCATGATACAACTTAGTTGATTAACATGAAAGAAAACTTGAATAAATGAAGAAGTCTTTTCTACTTGTTGGACTGGAAGATTTGATATTAATGGCTGCTTTCCCTATATGTGGATATATGTTCCTTTTCAAAAATTACAATAGTGGACTTATCCTACCATATATAAAATATTTTAAAAAGTATAATAATTTAGGCAGTGTGGCGCTAGAACAGCAATGTATATTCAAACTGATTTAAAAGAATACTTAGATAATGGATCAATGTATCTATGTGAAGTTAGTATATTATCTGAGTCATTTTAATACAATATCGTGGGGGTAGAGAGTAGATTTTTCAGTAGTTATTATTGAGATAATTCATAAGCCATACTTTTATTGGGGGAGCTTATAACCATTTACTCTTTTAACAAAAATAAATTCTGAATGCATCAACTATTTAAATCTAAAAAAATAATATGAGTGATTTTTTTATGGTTCTGAATTATGCTAGGCAAGCACTCTGCCACTGAGCTCTACCCCAAACCAGGGTGAAAAATTTTAAATCTTAAAGTCTTTGAAGCATAAAGTTTGACTACATGACAGTAAAAAGATTTTGAACACCAAAACTTTACATAAACATATGATCAACTTTATAAAATATGTGAAACATAAATGACAAATAATAACTGTTCCTTACATCCAGCTTTTACAGAGTATTAATAGAAAATTTCCAATGAGGAATAAACTAAGACAATCAGTGGTGGTGAGGCTATTAGAGAAACAAACACTTTAATATCTGTGGGTAGACTGGTAAAATTTGCCTACTCTAGTCGATGTTGATTAACAGCTTTATTGTTTTTATACAAACATGACCATTACAAAATGCATGACCATTACAAAAAATATAAGCAATTCTGAAAAGCACAAAGAAGAAAGTATTAAATTATTCACAGTCCACTACTCAGAAACAGTCAAAGGCAGGATTTCATGAACATAATTGTACGTTGAACATAATTTCTTTATTCAGGCATGGAAGGATAGGCTACGTCCATGGGTGGGTAGGTGAGTGGACAGACAGATAGAAGTAATCATTTATTTACCTTTTTTACTGAGTAAAATTGGAAAATAAAATCATATCTATTTAAGGTGTACAACATCATGTTTTGAGATACAGGCACAGTGTGCCGTGATTACTACAATCAAGCTAATTAACATATTTATCACCTCACATAGCAATTCTTAACTTCCTCTGCTGAGAGACATTTTATAGTAGCACCAGTCAAAAAATACTCTTAAATAAAAAGAAAAATGTACTCGGCATCTCAGTCCCAGAGGCAGATTAAAACAGTTACATGAACACCATTCTAGATGGTTTCTTGATTCTCTCTAGATTAACGTATATCTGAAAATAAAAAATTGTCCATGCCATGTATACTGTTTGGTAACCTAATGGGGGGTAGTGGACACTTTTTCACCTCAATAGATTTATGTCAACATCATGATCTCTTAATGATTATAATTAAAACTTTTTTCCATCCCCCAATAGCATCCCTTATACCCTCCCACTCTTATTCCCTTTTTCTTGTCTGAAATAATCTCCCTTCTAACTCTATGTTTCTTTTTTAGATTCCACATATTAGGGAAAATGTAATCGTTGTCTTTCCAAGTCTGGCTTATTTCACTTCACTTGGTGAGCTCCAGGTCCATCTGTTTTTCTGCTAATGACACAATTTCATTCTTCTTGAAGGCTGAATAGTACTCTGTTGTGAATATGTAGCACATTTTCTTTGTCCCTTTGTCTTTGGATGGGCACTGAGGCTGGTTCCTTATCTTGGCTAATGTGAATTGTGCTGCAGTAATTGTGGGCTTTAATTGCTTTGGGCATACACCAAGGAGTGGGGTAGCTGGGTCATACGGTAGTTCTAGTTTTAGTTTTTGGAGGAACCCCGTACGGATTTCCATAGTGACTCTACTAATTTATATTCCCACCAGCAGTGTAGAGGGCTGCTTTTCTCCACAGCCTCACCAGCATTTATTGTTTTGTTTTGTTTGTTTGTTTGTTTGTTTATTTATTTAGATACCAGGGATCAAACTCAGGACCTTGCGTTTGCCAGGCAGGTGCTGGTGCCACTGAGCTAAATCCCCAGCCCCATTTATTATTTTTTATACTCTTGGTGACAGCCATTCTGACTGGGGAGAAATGGAATCTTAGTTTTGATTTGCAGTTCCCTAAAGGCTAAAGATGTTGAACACTTTTTCATATACATATTGGCCACCTGTACTTGTTCTTTAGAAAAATGTTTGCTCAATTAATTTGCCCACTTATTGTTGGACTGTTCGATTTTGAGATCTTTACATATTTAAAATATTAATTCTCTCTCAGAAGAGTAGCTGACAAACACTTTCTCCCATTCTCTAGGCTGTCTCTTCACTCTGTCTTTTGTTTCCCTTGCTGTACAGAACCTTTTTTAATTTGCTGCAGTCCCAGTTGCCGATCTTTGCTATTATTTCTTGTGCTATCGGAAGTCTTTGCCTGTCCCTATGGCTTCAAGTGTTTCCATTATATCTTCTTCTATCAGTTTCAAAGTTTCCATCTTAGACCTAGGCCTTTGATTGTTGTATAGAGTGAGAGATAGGGATCTAATTTCAATCTTCTACTTTTTTTTTTTTTTTTTTTGGTACTGGGGATCAAACTCAGGACCTTGTGCTTGCAAAGCAGGTGGTGGAACCACTGAGCTAAATTCCCAGCCCTCAATCTTCAACATATAGATATCCAGGTTTCCCAGCACCATTGGTGAAAGAGGCTGTCTTTTTTCTAACATATGTTTTTGGTTCCTTTATCTAGAATCAGATAGCTAGAGCTACATGGGTTTGTTTCTGTGTCCTCTACTGTATTCCATTGGTCTAAATGGCTTTTTTTTTGGGTACTGGGGATCAAACTCAAGATTTTATGCTTGCAAGGCAGACACGGCGCCACTGAGCTAAATCCTTGGCCCCCATATATAGCAATTTTGGTGCCAGTACTATGCTGCTTTTGTTACTATGTGTTTGTGATATAATTTAAAATTGGGTCTCGCTATGTAGTTCAGGCAGGACTTGAAGTTGCTATGTAGCCCAGGATGGCTTTAAACCAACTGTGCAAGCCACTGGTTTTAATGTTGATTTTGTATAGAAATAATTTTATTTTATTCTTTCTTTTTTGGTACCAGGGATCGGACTCAGGACCTTGTGCTCTCAAGGCAGGCAGGGGAAAATCCCTGGCCCACAGAAATAATTTTATAAGAAAAAGATCATGCTCTTTAAAAAAATAAAACATATTTAATTGAAGTTTTCTTGGCATTTCCGGAAAAGCAAACATGATCATAATTAGCCCTCTTGAGTTTTCCCAGGAGCCAGACAGTGTCCGCTGTGTCTTCTGCAGTTCTGGGAGTCAGGCACTGTCGTCACCTCAGGGACGAAGTGCTCGATGACTTGCCTGTGAGCTCTGGAGCCAGGTTAAACAAGTCCACACAGTGTCACTCCAGCATCCTTGCCCGCAACCCCAGGCCACTGACCTCAGGTGAAAGCAAACATACTTCTGGACTTTGGATGAATATTTCTTTCTCATAAGGCGTATGAGGTCCCCAAAGGGGCATTAATGCAAGAGGTGAATTAAGAAAGCCACCAAGATGTGGTGAAGTGATACTGTTGTTTGTGTTTTTTTGGTACCAGGGATCGAACTCCGGTCCTTGAGCTTGCGCAGCAGGCGGCGAAACCACTGAGCTAAATCCTCAGCCCTAAGTGATACTGTTTTGACTGTGTCTCCACACCATACGGCAGGGCTGGCTCTGCCTGGAGCTCAGAGGTGCACCCTCCTGCCTTTCCCCGCCCCGCCCCTCCACTCAGTTTTTACTGTGTGTGGTTTGTTCTGAGTTTATGATGTTTACAATCTGTACAGTTACCATCATGCCTCCCAGCTGTTTTGCCTTTGTTCTATAGTTACACGGATGTAATGTACATCACTATAGTTCAAGGCTTACCACAGTTTATCCCTCTCCGAGGTCCTTATTTTGGTTTACTTTTTGGTTAGCTGGATTTCACTGTTAAGTAATTTCCCTAAGAAAGTCTCACTGGTGCTTTATTCCCTTAGCTTTTTCCTTACTAGACTATGTGCCTTTTGCTTTGGTATTTGAACAACTTGGCTGGGTAGATTTCTCTACCCCACTTCCTTTTCTTTCGAGTATAAATATCTCTTCTGCTGTCTTCAGACCCTGGATGTGGCTGTGAAGAACCTGGGGCCAACATGATTATTTTTCCCCTTGTAGCTTTTTCCTGCCTGGATGCCTGAAGTTTTGTTGTTTTTTTTTGTCTTGATCCTTGAAATTTAAAAAGCCAAACTAAGCTATGTCCGGACAAATTTGCCTGGAATATAGCATGTTCTCTAGATGTACAGGTGCACTTTTCCCTTCATCTCAGAGGAATTTCCAGTATCCTTCTGCTCAGATCACCTCCCCTGCCCCCCCTTCCCTTCCTCTCTTCCTCCTTCCATCTCTCCTTTCTTCGGTGCTACCCCAGCTGTCCTTGCACTGCCTCCTCTTTGTCTATCCTTGATAGCTGTCATCTGCTCTCAGATTGCTTTATTCATTTTGTCTTATTTTTCTGCCTTCGTTGAGATTCTTTCAAGCCATTTCTTTAATATTCAAATTCCACCCTTATCTCATATTCTTGCTGTTTATAATTTTATTACTTCCTGTAATGATGTTAGTTTTATTTTTTTATCTTCTAGCTCCGAAATACCCCTTCTCATCTCTTTTATTTTTTGTAATTTTCAAGACTTTATTTTAATGAATTCATATTTTTATTTAGTTCATTTTTATGGCCTCAAACGTTTGCAGGGGATTTTGTTTCATGTTTCCTTACAGCATGAGTTCTTTGTTTCTTGCTTGATTGGTTGTTTCCTTCCTCCTTTCCCTCCTTGCTTTTTTCCTTCTTTTCTCTCTTCCTTTCTTCCTCCTCTATAGTAAGTTTGCATAGTTGTAAAACCATTTATTTTCATTCTGTTTGTACTCAGGATGAGGTTCATCTGCATTATGGATATCGCTGTATTGTCATTTTCACTGCTGTAATTTTCTGCTATCTGAATGCTACGTAAGCCCTTGGTCCTCCTGTGGATGGACATTTGGATTGCTCCTTGTTTTGTGCTAATCCAATCAATGTCACCTTAAGAGCTTGTGTAGGTGGCTTCTGGGAATTATGCTTAGTAGCCAGTAGAGAACATGGTTCTCTTCTCTAATTGGCAATGTCAAATTGTTTTCCCATTATCAGTTTCCACTCCCACCAAAAGCACACAGGAGCCCCTGTTGTCCGGGATGCTCACCAACACTTGACATGGTTAGACTTTTAAACTCTGGCCAGTCCAATGCCTGTAGTGTCTCAGCTATGATTTCACCATTCATTTTCCTTTTTACCAGTGCATTGAATGGCTTCTTATAAATTGCAACCTTTATTTAGAACATCTTTGATGAAAATATATCCACTTCTAACATGTTTGTGGAGTGTTTCCCATGTGCCAAAATTGTGCTCCTTCTGGATGATTAATGGTGAGCCAAACAGGCAGAATGGCTGTACCCAGGGAGCTTACATGGCCTTACATCAAGTAGGGAGATGTGAATGAAACACACATGCCTAAATACAACCTGTTGAGGGTTATGGCAGAAAAGGACAAGGTGTTAAGAGAGAATACCCATGGTGGTCTCACTTAGGTAAGAATCCAGGAAACGCTGATAAAGACAGATGCATAAACATTGCAGTGGGCAGACCTTTGGCTTGTCCATCAGTAATATGATGGCACGCCATTGATCACCTAAGAGAATAATGTAGATGCATACTTGTTCTTATGAAAAAAAATCACAAGACATAATGTTAAATGAAGAAAGCATTTGTCAAACCTGAAAGTGTAGCATGATTTCATTTTCATAAAATTACCTACGTTATTACTATCACACCTGGAGCATTGGGAACACTGTATGGGAAACTGTGGTTGGTGAGACTTCCAGGTATGTTTATTTCCTCTCTTTATACTCTGCTGAGTTGCTTCCATTTTTACTTTCTGTGTAAACAGTAACAGAAAATTCCTAAAAGGTTACATACACCATCAAGAGTTTGTTTCTGTTTCATTCCTTGCTCTTTTTCTAAAAGTTCTTGGTCATGTCAGAAACACACTACTGGAAAAAAAAAACTTACTGGGGACCAAATGTCATTAAGATATAAAAAATGGACTTCATGGATCCCATAAATACACAGAGATCCTGTTTCACATGGACTCTTGCTTCTCTCTGTGAGTTTTTCCCCAGGCAGTGAATCTAATACAGTCCACCTCCCTGCAGGAGAAATGAGCAAATTGAGCTGCATTTGGAATTAATTTTGTAAAATTTTCTAAGATGCATAGATCTTTTCTGAGAAACTTAAGTCTCTAAATATTTTTAAAGACTTCCATTTTAGATTCCAATATTCCTGTGCATATTAAGGATATTTTACTGAACCTGCTTCTTATTCCTTTAGTTGATGAAGTCTCCATGTTCCGGCAGATTTTTAAGAAAGTCTTAATCACCCACCAAGTGGGTGGTTATTTTGTTTGTCTTCTTATCTAAATTAGCAGGAAAAAAGGAATTCAGGTGAAGGGGGATGGTGGAAAATATTGGAGAATATTGTTATTACTCAATAATAAACAGCAGGAAAGCCTTTAGAATGAAAACCAATTTCACAGTATTTTTATGAGTCATAAAAATCAGTGGTTAACCTACTTCACTGCGGTTTAGGAGTCTCCAAAACAAAGCTCATTTACCCAAGTTTTTTGCAAAAAAAAAAATTAAGGAAGAATGATTAAAGAAATGGCGGAAGTGTACTATGTTTATGCAATCCTGATATTACCTTTCCTTACCATGAAATCAACTTCTATTTTTAATAAAATGTTGCCAGCATGTGTGTTTGATTGGCCTGACTTAATCAGGGTTGGCTTCACAGTAGGGAATGGCTTGAAGTATATTAAGAAAGATGTATCAAACTGGCAGATCCACCAAGTATTTTTAGTGCTGAAATTTGAGGTAGATCTATTGTATGTGCTGTTTTTCCCCGAGAAACTTGTCTACCTTGTCAACTGAGAAGCAGAGACTGGGAATGCTCTTTAGTAGTGAACTCATCAATTAAACATTTGAAGTTCAGTACATGCCATAGTAACCTTTTTGATCAGTTTTTGGAGAGGAAAATGTGAAGAGGTTTTGGTTAAAAAAATAATAATAAATGGTCGAATAGCTCCATCAAGTTGACTTTTATGAATGTAGCACTCTAATTTTAATTCATTGCAGTTCTCAAAGTCAGTTGATAAGATTGAAAAAGCCCTCAGTGCTGGGGACCCCTCCAGAGGTGGCTATGTCTCTTTGAATTATCTCAAGATTGTCCTTGACACCTTTGTCTACCGGCTACCAAGGAAAACTTTCCTCCAGTTAATGAAAAGGTAAGAGTCCCATTGTTTCCTTGACATCTTTTTCCCCAGACGTCAAACATGAGGATAAGGAAGAGCTTCATTTATATTTTATTAGTGTTTTAGGCTTTTTATTATTGAACATTTCAAACATATAGGAAAGTAAAGAGAATAATAGAAGGAATACGCTTGTGTCCCAGACGTCCTCCCATCCTGCCGGCGCTTCATCAACCCCACGTGGTTTTGAACCAAACATCAGACACCACAGTTTCTGTCTCTCAAAGATGCAAACTCTTTTTAAAAACAAGAAGATAATAGTATTTCCACATCGCATAGAATTATCAATACTATTAATAAATATGCAGCCAGGACTCACATATAACTTCTTGTCTCATGTTCTCTTTTATAATCTATGTGAAGTGCTCGCTTCGGCAGCACATATACTAAAAAAAATTGGAATGATATAATCTATGTGAATCAGAGCCAAATTAAGTCAGAACATTGCTTTTGGTCAATTTGCCATGATTCCTTTTTAACCTACAGGCTTCCTGTCCATTTTAATTTGGAAGTAATCTGGATTGTAGTAATGGGAGTTTCTTACAGTCTGGGTTTGACTATTACAACCCACAATGGCAGTTCATGCTTCTCGTCTCCTTCCCGCATCCCTTCCCTGAACTGATAGATACACAGACCCATGTCTGTGCTTCTGTCTATCTGTTTTGGGCAAGAATTCTCCACAGATGATACTCAACAGGAATGGCAGTCTCTCCTTTTGTAATGTTGACAACCACTGTTGATTGTACCTGGATCCATTGATTCACTAGAGATCCAAAGTCATGACATTCCGTGTCTGTCATTTCATCCTCAGTCACTGGTTGGAACACTTCTGTGATGGAAACTTCCTCTCAACAACTGTGTGGCAACAAAGGCACTGTTAGTGTAAGAAAGGCAGGAGAGCTTTGATTCTGTCCTCTCTTTTACTGCTTTTCAGAATTATCAACTGGTTCCCTAGCATTCTCCACAAGTGAGCAATGGATGGGTTTTCTTAACTATGCTTGTTAATAACTATTGTGAATGTATGGATTTAAACTTATTTAATGTGTTTCAATTCCTGACAGTTTTATTCTTACTGACATTTGTTCCCTCTTGGCAGTGGGGGCTTTTCATGGTGGCTCCTGAATCTATCGATGTAACCTTAATAGCCTGTAATTGCTTTCTTGAATTCCAGAATGACAAAAAATGCTCCAGGTTGGGCTGGGGATTTAGCTCAGTGGTTCCACCACCTGCCCCGCAAGTGCAAGGACCCGAGTTTGATCCCTGGTACCAAAAAAAAAAAGAAAGTGCTCCAGGCTCATCCCAGAATCAGCCATTTCTCCAAGGGTCTCTGGTTCCTTTCAGTTGGAAATCTGGTCTATATAGACCAAACTCTGAGCAAGGAGTAAACTCTGTTTTTAATTCCCAGTAAGACAGAGAAACTTTTCTCAGGGGAAGTAGGGTAGAAGCTAATGGAAGATTGTCCATTATAACTTGGGTAACTAGTGTATGCCTTGGGGTTACCCTGAAAAGGGAGGCCTGAGAGAAGGGGAAGGAAACACAACACAAAGCTGGAGTGTTGGATCCAATCCTGGGAGTCTTCTGCTTCTTTAACAGTGATTTGCATATCCAGCGAGAATTCTACAGTGAGAAGCAAAATTTGGTCCTAGGACTCAATCTTTCCATGTTTCAGAAAACAGCCTTATTGTCCTGCCTACACAAGGTGCAATTTTCAAGTTCCTTTCTTAGATAGTTATACATGATATAGACATTTCATATTTCACTTTCAAAATTATACAAATAATAGAGTGGATCCTCGGGTTACAACTGGCCTGACACACGAACAACTTGGGTTACAACCAGAATTTTAGTTTTAACTTACGAACAAAGTTTGAGTTTTGACCTGAATGCTGACTGCCTGTGCTTCCAGATGGTCTCAGATACAGATTTAACCCTTAAATATACTGGAAGGAACATTACAACATCTTTTCCTGTGTGGAGTTAATTGTGAAATCCTGGGCCAGTATCTCTCTAAGGACACTGAGATCTGCCTGTATACAGGAGAGAGACTTTGAAGTCTGTGTAGAGGAGCCTGAGCTTTCAATTGACCAACTTGAGTTACAACCAGCCCTCATGAAGAAATTTAGTTTGTAAGTCAAAGATCCACTGTAATTTTATAGTAATAAAAATCAAAAGAAAAGATCATAGGGGCTGGAGATTTAGCTCAGTGTCCCGGCCCGCAGGTAAGTCAACGGAGACCCTAGAGGGGGAGTGAGAATGACAAGGGACAAGAGACACGAGAGATGGAGACAAGACAGGTTTCTGATCAAGTCTCGTTTATTGCGGAAGCTGCTACAGCATATATACCGTAAGGCTAGAGGGGAGGAGCAAGGGGAGGG